TGTTCTGCTTTGATAAATACTTACATATCCAAGGTTTCATCTGCAAGGACACAGATACGTGGATGCTGCTGCTGGAATCAGGATATTAAATGGGTAGAGCTAGTGAAGAGTATTGGTGTTGTGAATAGGTATTGTATGAAGAGGATGTCAATTAGGAAATTTCTTCTCCAGCTGTTGTATTTTATATAGATTACTGAGGTTCACAATCCAGTTTATGGTATGGTTTTCCTCATCCAAGCAGAAGTGGACCCTACTCAGCTATATAGCATTTCAGCATTTTGTAGTATTTGCTACACTGCTCGTGGAAAAACTTTGCAATTCTATTTGTTCTACAGTCTGAAAATGTATTGCAGAGGATGTTGATTGTAATGCTGTTATTCCTGTAAATGTAAATGTCAGGTAAGAAAAAGGAGTGTAATTCAGTGTAGAGAGAAAAGCTTGGTTATAAGAAGTGCTTAGTCAACTAAAATTATCAACACGATATGAAACGAGCAGGGTAGATTTTCTGTTTCAGGCAGTTGAATGGGACTAGGCAATAACCAGCAAGAATGTGACTTCAGGGGTGACCTTATTAGTTTTAGCTTTAATGGTTTGGGCAACTCAATTTCTCCTGTAGTTTGTAGATGAGGCCCATCTGTCGCATTTGGGAAGTTTCAGGATTCTCAGTGACTGAAAGTCAGACCGGTTGAGGATGGAGGGAGAAGGGAGGAAAAGCAAAGTCATTTTTTGTAAATAACCTAATTTCTGTCTGCTTCGTGGTGGCTGCAGTTTTACATGTGCATTTAATGTTAGTCTTTATCACCTTGCTTGTAAACCAACTATTGGAACTTTTACAGGAAATTTATGTTGTTTTAAAAATTACTTCGGCATTATATAAAAATTATTAGAGGTTATATGGCTTTGTCAAATAACAACATGTGTCTGTACAGAATGCAGTTCAATATCACCTGGAATATATTTACTATGTTACTTTTCTGCTTCATAGCTTTTTCAGCTAGAGACTGAGAGTGTCCCTCTAAGAAGCAGGTCCAGTATACCTGGGGATTTTTAGAAGTAACCCTAAGCTTTGATGAATGCACATAAATAACACTGGAGAGAAATAGCAGGAGTATTTCTACTCTCAGGGGTTGCTGAGCCATCATCATCTTAGTATACACAGAGGAACATTCACAGGGGATCATGAAGAAATACATTAGCCCTCTGTTCTTGTTTCCATATTTTGCAGCTGTACATCCCAGCATGGAACAGTCTGGCTGCTCTTTGTGGCACAGATTCTGCCATCTCTGGGAAAGCTGATCCCTTGCTTTGTGCCAGCATTGATTTCAGCTGTGGAGCTGAGAGGATGAGTGGCAAGTATGAGAAGGGATGGCAGAAATCTGATACATAATGACCATCATAGCTGGTTCTGTTTTAATCCTGAGATAGGGAGTGTTCTGTTAGGACAGAACCAGCAAAATTCATAAGCCTTTAAAACAGAGATTTAGAGAAATTGTGCAGCTAAAACTGATAGGACTGAAACCTCACTGAACATTTTCAAGTAGGTGTGAATACAAATCTTAATGACAGAAGATTTCAGTAAAAAAGAACCTCTACTTAATAATACTTTGCATTTTTAATGGCCTAAATTCTCCAAAGATCTGGTGCTTTACTAAGACCTGGGGATTTGGGGTCAGAATGTGCTCAGCATAGCACAGAATGAGGCCAATAATGACCCTTCACTTGTCGTAAAGACAAACTCAGAATGCTTTTAGGGAGAGGGTAAATTAATTTAGTCTCAGAAATTCTTACAGCATATAGCATTTACTTATATAAAAATAATAACATAAAATAGTGAAAGGCTTTCAGGAAGAAGTGACTGGATTACCCAGTTATTCTGCATTACCTTTATTGGAAATACACCCCCTGAGACTGAGGAGTTTCATTATGGCTTAAATGAAAGTTTGCTTTGAAAACACTGCACTAACCTCACTCCCTTTGGTTGTTACTTTTGTGATACGTTAACCTGTCCAACTAATGACCATGGAGGTAAAATTACTCATTAATTTAGTTATTTAAAGGATGGGACATCCTGTACTTCAGTGTGACTCAGTGGATTTTCAGACCTTAATATTTTCAGGTAACTGGTAGGAGGTTGGGAGTAAATATTTTCCCCCTGCTTTGAAGGGTGCTGTGGCAGCAGCTCTCTTCAGGTACCAGTTGTCATCCAACACCAAGCTATTAATTTTACTTGTTTCACACCTGAATGGTGTCGATCTGCCCACTGTGCTAATCCCACGCTTTGATCTGGACCTACAAGAAGTGACTGTTTTTGTGACACAAGGTATTATTACTCTAGTCTGCCTTTAATGAGCTGTATGTATGAGGTCTGATAATATCCCAAACCGCCACACGTGAAAGCTGAGAACTCTGAGAACCATCCTTCCCGGAGGTGCCTGAGTTCAGGTGAACAAACGGGTGTGACCACGGGCTGTGCTCTCCTGGCCCCACAGGCTGGGGGATGAATGTGCTTGGTGAACCCTGTAGTTCTCTTCAAGTCCTCTGCTAAGCCACAGATAAGATGATGAAAAAGGAGATGAGTGTCTGGGAAGGGGATGCAGAGCTTTGTCTCCCTGATTCCTGCCCAGCACAAGTGTGACCCCGTGGTTGCAGTGCTGCCCCTCTCGAGGGTGGGGGCCATTCCACAGGGCAGTGGCCTCTTCATTCTGCTCTGCTGTCACTTGGAAGAAACAATAGTTTGAAGATCTGATGAACCAAAGTCCCAGTTTCACTGTTGAACAAAGATGTGGAGCTACAGTAACCTTTGTTCTGTGTGTTACAAGTGCTGCATCTCACTGGTGAGGCATGAGCTAAGCTAAGGGTGGTGCCAAGGTGCACTGGTGCCGTTTGGAAAGCAGGGATGTACCTCCCCAATCCCACCAAAATAATTCATAAATAGCTTTTTTAATAGATGTCACAGGTGAAGTACCCAGAAACTTGGTAGCAAAGCAGTAGTGCCATAGTCTGTTCTGAGGAAGTCCTTTCTTTTCTCAACACTGACAGGCTCAAACTCATTGTTTCCTGTGAAGTTTGAGCCTTATGACCAGGCTTCTGGTTTTTAAGGGAAATTTAGGGGAAAAGCTATTTTTAAGTGGGCCACATCTCTCTAAAGAAACAAAATTGAACTTGGATTTCATAGCCAGGACAGGGATGGTGAAGGAGCTTGAACACAAGTGCTGTGAGGAGAGGCTGAGGGAGCTGGGGTTGTTGAGCCTGGAGAAGAGGAGGCTCAGGGGAGACCTCCTCACTCTCTGCAACTCCCTGACAGGAGGGGGGAGCCAGGTGGGGGTTGGTCTCTCCTCCCAGGAACCAGCAGTAGGACAAGAGGGCACAGTCTTGAGCTGTGCCAGGGGAGCTGTGCCAGGGGAGGTTTAGGTTGAGCATTAGGAAGAAATTCTTTCCAGAGAGAGTGCTCAGCCATTGGAATGGGCTGCCCAGGGAGGGGGTGGAGTCACCATCCCTGGAGGTGTTTAAGGACAGACTGGATGTGGCATCAGTGCCATGGGCTGGGAACCACGGCGGGGTTGGATCAAGGGTTGGACTTGATGATCTCAGAGGTCTTTTCCAACCCAGCTCATTCTATGATTCTTTGATTCTGTTCTGCACTGCTGCAGGTGGATTAAGAACTAACTCATCACAAACTGTTGCCCTCCTGACTCAGACTCACAGGCACAGCCTTCTGAGATACCTTTAGGAAGTTTTCTTTTAAGTACTTCTTGCTAAAATTAAATAATATTAAGGGCAGGGAAAATGCTTACAGAAGCTGTTAGAATCTTGTTACCTGTGGCTGTAGCAATATATAACAACATGCACAGTTTGAAGAACTTCAGTATTCCTCAAATACAGTGCTCAGGTGTGCTGGGAGTTATCCAGGGTAGCAAAGTGAAAGTCGATGTTACTTTTAGAATTTACTTAGAGTATTATGCTGGATTACTTATGTCTAATATTAATTCAGTGTTCATTTTGCATTTATATGATTTAAGATACTTATTTCATTTACTGTTTTCACCAAATATATATTGCTAGGTTATATCATGCAGCAATGCTTTCCAAAAACTAAGTGGTCTTTTTCCAGGAAATTTCACAGAGATTTATTTTGTTTTCAACAGGCATAGTATTTTCCTCAATCAGTGAAAGAAAATATAGGTTGTTTTCTGGAAAATACTGTCTATAAATTTTTTAACACTTCACCTTTTACTTTGAATTTTAAGGATACTTACCAAAAAGGAAGGAATAACCACTTCTGATTGTGACCCTAATCATATTCAAGGCTAAATTATCCTAATAAGCAGTGGTAACCTGTACTTCATAATATGTTTGGTATTCTACAAGAAAACAGATATAAACCTCAGTGTATTAAAAATTGTGTAAATACATTCTAATAACTGGCATTAAACTAATTGATTAGCATTTCTTCTGTGGGAAGCGGAGATTTTACCAATATTTTACTTAAATTCAGATTTGTTCCTGTGAGAGGAAAAGTAATATTCCCGCTAATAAATGGTAATATTGTAAGTAGTGAATAGTTTCAATGTATTTTAATAAAGTTAAGGCAAGTCTAGATTTTCATGAAGAGTTAAAATAAAAACCAGAATTAGCTTCTTTAATATAATGAGCTATATTAGTAGAGCAGGTTTCATGTAGCTGTAAAGGGCAGCTTGGAGGAGAGAAGATGTCAGCTTGGAGTTCATACTTGTTAAATGACAAGTTTCTTGAAAATAAGGCACAGTATTTATTCTTCTTTTAATAATTATTCTCCTTTTTTAGAAAATACCCATTATTTGTTCTCTCCAGTGTAAAATAATCTCTTTCCCAAGATCTATTTTAAAATTTGACTTCATTTTCATAACCTCTTGTTAGATATTATAAACAGGACAAAAATAATACTGTTTTTTCCTGGGAAGGTAATATGTGACCTCCATCACATACTATAACATTAAATATTATTTCACTGTTTTCTGCAGGAGCACCTGTCATTAAAGAAGTACATTGTGGACATTGTGATTGAGAGTTCTGTTCCTGTGGAACCATTAAAAGATGGAGAGGAGAAACAAAAAATTAAAAAGAAAGCCAAGAAGCTAAAGGCACGGATGAACTCCAGGTAGTACAAATTCCTTTTTATTTTTTTTTTCCTTTAAGTTTTGTTCTAAACTTTACCTTTTGTCCTTTAGTATGAGTGCAGTGGAAGGCTGAAAAAAATGTAAAATTATTTGCTTTGGGAGTGTCTTGAAAATAACACTGATGAGCCTAATTTATGGCCACTTTCTCTGATTGAGAAAGAAAACTGAATATCGATCTGGAGCCCTTGGTTTCACCTGTTAAGAGCTTTTCTCATAATTGGATGCCAGTGCCCTGCCAAAACTGTAGCCTCTTCTAGCATACAATAGCATGTTTAAATTTGTGTAAACCATGCCTATTTTTCTTTCTAGCTATTGATTTTTAAATGAAGTATCAAAGAAAATCAATAGTAATCAACAAATAGGAGTCAGCCCGCTGTGGTGTCAAATCCCATGACTAAATTTAATCATTTTTTGTTGCCTGTCACAACAAGAAGAATAAAAATATCTTAAAATGGAAAGTGAGCTGTCAGACCTGCAATTTGTTCTTAGTCTAAAAAGTGACATCTGCAAATCAGTATGATGTGCAGGACATCATTATATCATGAACTGGCAGTGTCACTCTCTAGAGCTGAACAGTGCCCAGCCGAGGTTAATACTTAATTGAATATTGTAATATATTTTTGCATTTCTCTCTAAAAATACTTCTCAGTAGGTAAGAGTCATTGTTATGTATTTTCCCTACCTTCTTAAGCAAGAAGGGCTTCAAAGAAGAGAAGAACACCTGCATGGATTTTTAGAGCTCCAGTAAAAATGAGATGTTTTATTAACTCATGATGGTGCTAATAAAGGCACATCAGTCTTCAAAACCACCACACTTTTACAATGTATTACTGTTTCTGATTGCTTTCCTCTTTGAATGAGCAAATCCACTGTCTGAACAGCACATTGGAACACCCTGTTGAAACTGGATAACGTTCTTCCAGGTTTCTGATTGCTCAAGATGCAGAGTTATTCATATGACCTGTTGATTTAATGCAGTTACTGGGTCCAGTCTCCAGAGCTGCTTCTGTTGAATTTAGTCAAAGATTTGTCAGACCTCAGAATACAGGTTCAAATGATAAATAGTTTGTTATTGGCACTGAGAGGAGAAAAACTTTTTCAGAACAACTTGAGTTCTTACGTGTCAGACTGCTGGGTGAGTCAGCATATTCGTCATGAAAAATTGTAATTAAAACAGTAATAAAGGGACATCATTGTACAAAGGTGATGTACTATTTAAAATACAGTGAAAGCTTCAAAATCTAGGAGGAGTTATCTTGGCAAGACATGAAATCCATGTTCATTAGGCTTGTTTTTCCTACTAAAGGGTGACTAAACTTTTCAGTGGTCTGCTGTCCTGGAAGATAACTCAGAGTTAAATTGAAGATTTCACGATGAGTTTTCTAATGTCAACACAAAAGGCTTACTAATAAAAATGTCCATTAGTGGTATAAAGCAAAGGTATTTTGATGTTGAGAATTTGGAGTTTTGTAGGTGTTAGTAGATTATCTACAGACCATGTTTTAGTACATATCTACAAGTCTCCCTCTTCCCTATAAAAAGAAACAGTTACAACAAATACCCTTACACCTCAGCTCTTGAAATGATGCATTCATTTCAGTTTCTAGGAAGCTGTGATATTCTAAAACTGGAAAAAAATAAGAACTGCATCCAAATAGGTTCCTGTTGCTCTCCTGAGTTTCCAGATCTTAAATCACTCCTGCAATATCAAAGCAATGAAGGGCGGAGGTGAATGAGGGGACAAATGGTGATCAATGGGATATTAGATATGTTGAGAAGTTTTGTTAGTCTTATTAATTATATTTATAACCCTAAGCCATTTAACTGGTGCTATCAGTAACAACTGATATATAGCTGAGTAAATTATCTCAGGTTATCGTGGATGTGCTGCTGGCAGAAGAGTATTTGGGTACTCCCATGGCAAAAGGAGTCCTGATGAAAGCCAAATTTGAGCATGAGAGGTGGCTACCATATAGTTGGTGTGTGCTTTACAGTGGATTTAAAGCACTCCAGCCACGTGCATTTAGTAACAGGTATTTTGGGTGATTTTTCAAGTTCGGCTGACTTGTCTGTGCAGAAGCTGACATGTGTTGTTTCTGGGTAAGAAGGCAAAAGGTTAATAAAGGAATCTCACCTTTGTGTTTAATACTGAATTCAGCTGTGATTAATGGCTTTATTAATGACCCACAAATCAGAGCTGGTGGTGATGTAACAATATTTGCGTGGAGCGTAAGTTGGGACGGTTCAGCCGAGGGAAGATCTGAGTGGCTTTGGGAAACTCCATCCATTTGTGGGAACAGAAAATATAAAGGAAAGTTCACTCTATATACCTGAGAGAAATGCATCTGCATCGCTGCAGTGCCTGGATTAGTTTTGCTTTATGTGTGTGTGTGTGTTATTAAAAGCAGGTTGCAGGATTAGCACCGTGAATCCTGCTTTGGTCCACGAGCAAATCGTGATTTTCACCTGTTGGCACGGGCTGGCTGGAGTGAAAACAAGCAGTGGAAAAACATCTCGTCTCCCTCTTCCTACTTTTTGGCATATAGCCAGTGTAAATAATAGTTTTAAGGGACTAAAGAGGTTGTGTTTCTGTTTCCAGCAGTAAAACAGTCATTCTTTGAGGTGTTTCTGTGTCGTTTGCCTAAAATTTATTATATTACAATACAATCAGTAGTTACATAAAAATGCTCCTTTGCCTGTAAATATAACCAAATATTTATATGTTAATTATAATCTGTGATGTACTGATCTGATCTGCACTACATGTCTAAATCACTAATATTTTATATAATAATTATATATTTTATATTTATACATCATAATATAAATTGTTATATCACTAATAATTTTATAATAGGCAGTAGATTACTACATTTCTATGTATCACTTGTGCAGTTTTCTACCATTTCAAAAGTCAACTTAAATATGCCATTTATATACTGATGTTATTCTAAAACAGTAATATTAATCATAAATTGCTAATGGCCAGTAGTTCAGCACCAGTCTGGATTCTGACAGGGCAACTCTGACAGAAACGCTGGGCCTTACTGTGAACCAGGAAAAACCCAAAGGTTTGAACCCTGTCACTAATATTACATCCTGTACACTTTAGACAATAGTCAATAATAATGAATATTTTCTCCTCTAGGGCAAAGGAATATGAGAGCTTGATGGAAGCAAAAAATGCTGTGTCTGATTCCCCATTTAAATCCAAGTAAGCATTAAACTTTCTTTACTTAAACATGTGCTTTTTTACCCTGTCTGTTACAGAAGTGCTTCTGAAGTTCCCAGCAGAGCAGGTGTGGAAGGTTCTCCCTCAATGTTGGGCATGTTGCCATCTTGAGTTACACATTAGTTTCTAATACAAAAGCTCAGACCTTAGAAATGCATTTTTTTTGAAGACACTGTGTATCTTAAACCATGGAAGTTGCTGTAGTAAAGAAAACATGTGCTCATACTTTTCTTACTTGGAAACGAGAAGGTTCCAGTCTTGCACTTCCAGACTGATGGTGAAAATTCAGCACTGGAATGCTGGGGCTGAAAATCTTATATTTGGCCTGCATTTGATCAGAAAGAAAGGTGAAAGCATATGATGTTTTCCAGTCTGACACTGAGCTTTTCAAAGAACAGACCTTTTTGTTGTCTAGGATAAGGCACAGATGAAAACAGCTGGATGGTAAGATTAAAACAAGACCTGTGCTCAGTGACAAATTCCTTCTCCTTAGTTTGAAACTGAAAATTGCTCAACTCTTACTCTCTGATTTCACTGAAACCAGTTGGGAAAAGATGCAGAATATTTGGATTTCCAAAAGGATTTTGACAAGGTCTATCACCAAAGATTTTAAAAGAAACTATATAGCTGTAGTTTAAGTGGAAAGCAGTTAAGAAGTTGAAAAGAAGTGGAGTGTTTCCTCAGTCCTTGGCAGAACAGGGAGGTCACCAGTAGAGTTCTGCAGTTGTGAAATGTTTGACATATTCACAAGTGACTTGGAGAAAGAGGGCAAGCAGTGAGAGGACAGAGTGTGATGATCATGCAGAGATTCAGGACAGTAGGGACAAGAGCTGATGCTGAATGATAATTTTGAAGAGAGTTAGTGAGGCAATAAAATGGCTGGTGAAATCCAGTGTATATTGAGTGCTACACAATAGAGAGGGAAGACAGAACTCAATTATATCTTCACATACAAAGTGTGGGCCTTAAATTTGCAGATGTGAGAGGTAGTTCCAAGAAAATATCAGCTCAGTCCTCTCAGTAGTTCATAGAAATCCTTTGTTAAAATTATTTAAAAACTAGCAAAAACAGAACAAAGAATGTGATGTACAAATACCTGGGTCATCTGCATCTTTTGATTACAATGTGCAGTTCTGGTTCTTTGTCTCCAAACAGATAAGCTGGAATTGTAAAAGGTTCAGAGAAGGCAGGAAAGGAAATCTGTAATAATTTTACGTGTAACTTCTGTGTTAGGAAATAAGTAAGCTGGTACTTCTCATTCTGGGGAAAAATGTGATAATGGGAGGAAGTTCTAATGGGGTTTTGTTACAGAGATCTATAAGGTCATAAATGGCATGGAAAAGATGGATGGTGATTGTTTGCTGTCCTTCCTGGTACCGGAATGAGGGAGCGCAGGGTAGAGCTGGAGCCGGATTTGGAAGAAACCAAATCCAGTGTTCTTAAAGCAGAGTGCAGGGAGATGGATGGAACTCCCTGACTAAAGTCACACAGGTGATAGCTGACACTTTACCTGCATTCCTGCAGTTCTGGGAAAGGACATCCAGCCCCAGAGACTCTGAAGATGAAAATGGGGAAAGAAACAGATTAGTAAAGAGGATTATGCACTCCTGCCCTGTTCTTAATTTTCCTGAGACATCCATTTACAGTGGGCAGATGGTGTGTGTGCCTTACTTGTAGTTGGGCTCAGGGAGTCTGTAGCATCAGCCAAGGAGCTCTGGGGTCTCCACAGTTGGATTCTAAAACCCTCATCCTAAAATTGTGACGACTTTCCAGGCTGGGGATATTTGTCTTCAGACCAAGGTAATAATCTGTATGTTTTGTGATTACTTCCATCACTCATAAATTGCTGATATACTTGAAGGTGGCATTTTGTATAAGTTACTGGTGGTTGAGAAGTTCAGATCCTTGCAGTTATATACAACTAGCCTGCAGGCAGTATCTTTTACATAGTCTTTTCAATAGCTTGAAAACCTGCTACTGAATCTTAGATGTATTTTAAAATAATAAAAATCCATCACTGAGGTTTGACTTAAGAAAATGCCCCATCTCCAGCAGATGGCACACCTGCATAAACACATGGGGAAGGAATTGGCTTTGTTTCTTAATCATCAGCACTTCCATTTGCAAGATTAATTTTGTAGCATATTAAGACTTCTAGATTTGTAGCTTCTGTGTTTTGCTTTTCTTTGCTACCATTAGGGTAGCAAAGAACATTAAGGTCTGATTGTCAGAAAGTAGAAATGTGCATGTTTAAGTAAATGAAAATATTGATAAGCTGTAGTGCCTCCACTTTAGGTCCTTTCTGAGATCATAAGTGATGTAACTTAGTCAGTTGTGTCTCAGTTGAAGCACAAGAGAAACTCAGACTTTTAAATTTTTAAAAATATTTTCAAATCTTTTGACTGATCTTAAATTTAACAGTTTTCATTTCTCTTTACATGATTAAAAGTTCCTTTGCTTTCAGACAGAATCTTCTGTTCCACCTGCTTTCTTAGTTTCTTCCTTTATTGCCTCTGTTATTGCTGCACCCTTTTAGACACAAACTAGAGTTGTGGCCACTGTATAGCTCACTCTCATCACAGATCTGAGGTCTCTTTTGCAGTCTTCCTGTAGAAACCCAGGGATCTAGCAGATGCTTACATCTATATTTTTAAAACATAGTTTCAGATATCATGGTTATTGTTCTTTCCAAACTTACACAACTCTTTATCTACTCTGAGGCTCATATGTCTGTGAGCTTCTTTGAAATCAAGGGGGCAGCAGTGGGAGCTCAAGTCTGAACTGGCTTTTTAAGAAGAGAGGAGTGTCTGTGAGTCAACCATAAGCCCAGTCTATTCCTACTGAAATGTGTTACCTTTGCACAACACATATTACAAAATGGAAGAATAGGGAAGGGTAGTTTTATCTCCTTCTGTAAAGGAAAGCATGAGAGGGCAAGTTTCCTGAGGCAAGAGTTTTAGTCCAGACTGTATCTGTTTACATGGCAAAATGTAATACAGGAAAAAATAACAGGAAAGCACCTTTGTAACAGAACTAAGTACAGGATCCTACTTAACCAAGACCAAGGAAGAGGAGTCAGCAGAAAGGAGCAAACAGCAGTAGGTCTGCACTGAGTATTATTACATTGAGAAGCTTGTAAAAGTGGTGAGAGTATTGGCTTTTCAGCCAGAACACCATGTGCTGCTCTAGGATTTGGTGTTTAACTGCTACTGTACCTGGCTGAGAGAGCAAACCCTGCCAGTGCTGGGAGGTAAACCCTGCCCAGCTCTCAGGAGATCTGCAAAGTTACTGAGAAAGGTCATGTCACAGAACAGAGGGGGTACAGACTCAGAGTGCTAAATGCATTCTTTGTGTCCAAACAAATGCCAATACTTTTTGTCCATCCCAAAGGAAGGTTTGAGGTGTTCTGATTGGAGTGGAAGTATGCTAATGAACAGAAAACACTTTTTGACCTAGTGGGCCGTGGAATTTAAAAATGGAAAAGTTCTTTTTTATAAATTCCATTTAAAATGTGATCCAGTTGGTAGGTTTATTTATTTGCTTAACAGAAGCAAATGTGTTTTAGAATTAAATCATTAAATATGTCTTCCCTTTATGCTTCCTTGCTTATACCACATTTCTTTACCCACTCCTCTCCCCCAAACTGATTGTGTCTTCACAAACAACTAAAACCATTTATGGAATGCAATTTCTTATCTGATTTTAGTTCTTAGTCATGTTGTCAGTTGTTACAGAAGAAAGACAGAACCCAGAATTAGTAGTTGGCAGGTAAAAAGCCTTTTTAGATCACCTTTAAGATTAAGCCACTTTAGTATTATAAGACCACCGATTTCCTGCTGCGGCTGATAGATTGTTTCAGTGGGTTTTACTAGTTTAAGGTTTGAGATTTATAAAATCTTTTGCACTAAGGAAGCACTGATCCAAGTGCTTTCTAAGCTCTGCAGTGGTACTACACTAATGGCAATAAGCAGACAGGGTTTATCCTGCTTTGATAGGCACTGTGTATCCCTTTTTCAGTTCCAGAGTACTGATTCATGACTGGGATTGTGGATGGCTCTAAGTAGTTCTTTTTTAGAAATGGGTTTTAAAAGATGACTGGGAAAGCTTTCTTTTTTTTGGGTATCTATTAAAAATATTGTGCCCATTAGGGGGTGGGGGTATAAGTCCAAATACTGCTTCATTTAGTAAGTATTCTGCTCTCTGAACTATTTCATGTGCCAAGAGGGACATCCAAGGAAAAGGACTGTGGACATTCTCACCTGGAGCAGCCAAGTGTTGCTCCTGACCTCTCTCCACTGTGCATTTGCTGGTTGGTCACTGGTGGCACTTGGGTAATTTTATAAATGCTGGTGGACTCTTGGTGGATTTGTAGTATTAATTCATATTCTCTGGGAACTGATCTGACTATTTACTTATTGTTCAGTCTGTCGGGTTAACCTGGCAAAAGGTGTGTCAGGTGTCCATTAGAGCATTCTCAGGTGTCCATCAGAACACGTTTTCAAAAGGGAAGCAAAACGTTTTCTCAGAGTTAGAAGATTATTTACATCTATTTAGGATCTTCTAATCCAAAGGCCATATATGTCAGTGTTAAAGCAATCTGCAGGTAGCAAAGTGTAAATGTCATCCTTTAATACAACAGGGAAACTAAGGTAATGAAAGATTGCCTTGTGCCTGAAGGGAGTTAACAGGACTGCAGGGGGAGAAAATTTAACCCCTTCATCTAATATTTTAGCCAGTCTCTCCTCACACAAGAAGGAATTGTTTTCACATATTTTTTTTTACTTACCTTTTTCTTTTCCACTGTGTAAAGGGATACTTGGGGTAGTATGGAAATGGGAACCACTGTTGACCTGAAAACAGGCTGCAGCACAAAAAGAAGAGAATTAGAAAATGAAGAACTATTTCCTGTAAGAATCTGCTGGAAACAAGATGGGAATGTAGTGTGAAGTTTGTTCTTGCAGAGGGCCATAGCTAAATGTCTTTAACAATACAGTGCTTTCTTACTTTCATTATGGTATATCAGTAAATTCACAGGATAAACTCACCTTGTAGGTCTTCTTGGTGTAGTAGGCTAGAGGCCGGGTAGACCAACTATAAGATAATATACCAAAATACTGATTACTGCAGGAAAAAAGCAGTCTCTGAAACTGGAAGTACTTGTGCAAAATTAGTTTCCAAACAGCTCTGGAAACTGTAGAAGAGCCAACGTGTAAGTAAAATAAAATCCAGTTAAACTTTCAAAGCAGATAAATAACAGGTCTATGATTGGACAAGCAGTAGATTTCATCTTCAGGGCAAGGCTGGAACGTTCTCATAGGAATACAAATAAATGCATTCAGAAAATGAGATTTATAGGAATTTTTCATCATTTTTCAGAGAACTTCCTTTCAAACACTGCAGAAGGTGTGTGAAGCTGCAGATGTAGCTGTTTTTCATCTGGCAGTGCCTGGGACTGTGCCCAGCTGTGTTTCCCTGGCACAGCTGGAGCCATCGGAGGGTGCCCCGCGTGCCAGCACAGTGTGAACTGTACTGTGGGCAGCACAGGGCGGGCAGGGAATGCAGGTTGCTTCCAGGGGATCCAGCAAAGCTCCACTTTGGGCTGGGCAGGAACTTCCCCAGACGTTCCCAGTTCTCTCCAGGCTCGGGCTGCCTCGGGAAGAATCGGGGCTGTGTGTCCGGCTGGCACTTGGCCGCCCTCGCCGGAACCTCCGGAGGAGTCACCCCTCCTTCCCTGCAGGAACTGCACAGCATCCACTGCTCTGCCCTAATCCTGCCTTGCATACATCACTGTGCAGCCAAGAAATCATGGATTTAAACCTGCAAGTGCTGAAATACATTGATGTTACTATTTCAAGGCTATTTTGTTCTGAAGATGAAATGTGGCCTATAAATATTAACAGATCTCTTTCCTTTAGCCTGTAAAATATATTAAACCTGCTAAAAATATTTAGCCCGTGCTAAAAAGGAAAACCTTTGATATTGAATATCCCTTGTTTTTCCACTTGCAGTGCAAAGAGATCAGATACTGTATTTTTATTTGCTGAACATACTATTTATGAAAGTTTATGTTATGGTAACATTCCAAGACCAGTCAGTGCCTTGTGTCCTTTCTGATATTTCTTCTGCATTCTGAATTATCTGTTTGTGGGCAGTACTAAAACCTTAATTAGTGAGATGGAAATAGTTTTAGAGAAAAAGACATTAACTTCCCTTTTATCCAGCCCCAGTAAAGTTTCAGTCATTTATCATTCCTGTATGGCATAGTGAGCATTAGAGGAGTGAAAATTGGGAGACAGAAGGAACACTAAATAATTGTCCTAAAATGATTGAATTTGGACTCAGCAGTATTTCCACATAGCCACTGGGTCAGGTGTTGATGCCATGCTCTAGTAATCCACACTGCATACCAGGAGTGCACAAGGAGTCCAGAATGGACAGAGTTCTCTTTCCAAATCCGTTCACAGCAATGGTAAATTCTACATCCAAGCACAAGTCCTCTTCTATAGATTTCTAGTCCTTTGAAACAGTCCTAAAATTATTCTTATTTCTCTGACACTGCCAAGAAGTTGGTATAGAGGATATTAAAATAATTTCTCTGTGGGAGGAGGGAGTTTTTATTTCCCTTCTCTTCCCCATGTGATCACACAGCATCCGTTAACTGTTTTTGGCAGAAGATTCACCACACAGTAGGGTATGAGGCTGTAATGTGGTGGAATTGAAAATCTCTTCTTCAAGTTTCTTAATCTGTGATGCTGAACACACACTTAGAAAGTTGGAATTTTGGAAAAGTATCCAGAAAGACTTTTTAGAAGAAATGGAAAACTGGAAGCTTTTCCTTGGGAGTTAACGTGTTGTACAGCTTTGTTTTTAAACCGAGGACAGAAAGTGAACGTGGTGTTTAGTTTGCAGAGCATCTTAATAGGCTGAAGAGAAAGAAACTTCTGTTCCTCTGTCAGCAGAAGTATTGGTGTGATATGATTATGTTCCCTTTGAGTCCTTGTGAGGAGCATTTTGACAAACCTTACACGTTCTGTGTGCCGATGCCTGATGTAGATTAGGAAAGTGCCTTTCTTCAGCCTCTGTGGTTAATCCTGGTGGAATTCCATTCCTCTGATGTTAAATGAAGCAAATGGAAACCTGTCTTGCTGCCTTTTGTGAGATGAAGTTACAATATAGTGTGGTGGGTTTTTTCAGTGCCTTTATGCTTTAATATGCAATTAGAGTAGATATTTCAAAGAAATAATAAGACTTTTTTGCTTGATGTGCTAGGATATTGCCAAGGCAACAGCCATTCTAAATACCATTCTGTGAGAATACCTGCAATACTCTGCTTCTGGAGCATCTCTCTGGACTGCAGCAGTTCCACTTCTCATTGGTGCTCTGGTCTTTTGATTTACTGTCCAAGTCCTGCAGTTATTTGAGTTTTGGCTTTTAATTTTGTTTCCCATTTTAGTTCGTGGCTTACTGTGATAGACAGAAGTTTCCTCCAACCTCATTTTCCACAGAGGAAGTAGCAGTGCAAAAAAACCTCATCAGGATGTAATCTCCTTTTATTTTTCTTGCCATAGAAAAATCTGGTTGAATATTAATGGGTTCAGCTGACCAGATGATAAGAAGTCCAAGATTCGAAATTCTGCAAATCATTTTTATTTTTACCTTAAGAACATATCTGTGTCTTCAGCATGTCTTGAAAGCCATTAACAAAGCTCTGAATTTTTTCAAAGAGAAGGCACAGAATTTCCTGTTTCCTCTTGATTAAGTGGAAACTCTCTATTCTTCCCCAAATGAATATTCTGATATTGATGATTTTTTTTTTTTTGGATACATGTGACTACTGTGGTACATTCTCCAGCCTTTCCATCTCCAGCCTTCCTGTCTCACCTCTAGGGGACCAGTTAACGTAATTTTCTCTTTGCCATTACTCTGTGGTCACTTTGTGCAAACCTTCTGGCCCTTTTACACTGATATCTCCATTTTATGAGCATTGTTACCCTTCCCCTCTCTTTTCCTTTCTATAGATTTCTGTATATTGGCTTCTGGTCACAACACTGTTTCTCCCACTCATCCTGCTCAGCTCCCAGCTCTGTCCCAGCTGCAAAGTGTGCCCCTGAGCTCCTTACTGCCTTCACATTCAAGGCACAGAGGGATAAACTATGAGTGTCTTTTGACTGCTGTGTTTTAGACCTTAGGGTGAGAGAATGGTGCCTTGGAACTGCATATTTCTCCTCACTGCCTCGCAGGGGAGCAAAGGGGAATAGCCCAGAGGTAGACATATAAAATGGAAATGAAACCTAACCCATGTGAGTCTGCATCTCTCCCACCTCTGCATTTTGGCTTCATTACTGACCCTCATTAATAAAATGCCCTTTCTGAGGTAGACTGCAAAGCCACTGCTTTTTACTTATTCAGATAACCCTGAGGAGCCGTTTCTTTTATGATGCCTATAAGAAATTAGCCTGGTGATGTTTGCTGGTTTTGTTTAATCTGCTGTTCTGTTTCCCTTACTCATCTCAAGAGTGAATTGCTCAGCTGAGTGAGCCAAAATGATTGCATGGTGGGAGCAAAGCAGGATGAAACCATTTTGAAAGGAGCATGGCAAAAACTAGCAGGATAAACTGTGGAAGAATAGGGAAACAACAACAGAAACAAATATAGCTAATAAAGAAGCACCTTGATGGCTGTACTGTCCACACTATTCCTGTGCTGTTTCCCTGAAAAAGTAGATAGTGAAGTGTCACAGACAGTCCAAGCTGACTGTATCTCCTGGGATGTTTGACATGCTGGTCAGAGTAGACAATTATAATATTTTTACGTAGATTTTCAGATTCCCTTATCATTAGCAGAGGTTCATGACAAAGGTGAAAGTTAACATGAGTTTTTGCTTAACCCGCTCTTTGTTTTCTGTTGAAGGTTACAGCGACTGACAAAAGACCTTCTAAAGCACCTCCAAATGCAGGAGAGCTGCTCACTGGGGAACAACAAAGTGCCTGGGCTGGACAGGACTTTAGGAGAGATCTCTCGTATTCTGGAAAAAGAGGTATTGTGGCTTTTACTTGTATGACTTATATCCCATGAAGTGCATTGCCCTCAAATCTCATCGGTTTGGATTTGAGACTGTTTTAAACGTGGGGATGAATAAGTGACCTCTGTGTAACAAGCAGTTTCTGCTGTTAGACTTTTCATTTTTTTTTCCCCACTGTATTTTTGCTAGGATTTTTTTTAACCTGGGTCATTTTAGCCATCTGGTTTATAGTGCTTGTCCACAAACAATTAGCAGAGAACAGAGGAAAGAGTTGGAGCCAGCTTTGCTGGAGCACAAATCTGTTCAGTTTTCCCAGCTACAACAAAGCCAGCAGGTCTTTGCTGATGTGCTTATATATGGGATATTTCTATGTTTTGAATTTTTTTGAATCTGTGTATTTTGGTTTATGGGAAATGTTGGATTTTTTTTTTCAGTTAATAGCACAGGATTTGCATCTTCTTTACTGTTTCATCATGGTCAGTCTGCTACCACCACAGTGCTTTGTGTCTTGTAATATAGTTTTTTGCTCCATTAGGACCACAGAGTATTTGAGCTTTCAGCTGGGACATTATGTTGTGTTCTCTCTCTAACCATTAGAAAATACTTCTCTTTCTTATCTGTAATCAAGAAATAATGAAAATTAGTTCTGAGAGAAACTAAATTACTGAAATCTGAGGAAGGGGCTGCATCATTATGGTTCAGGGTCAATGTTTGTGAAAATGAGAGCTCTGTTTGATACTTTTCACAACTTAGTGTGGAACACAATTACTAGTGGCACGTGCTTTTAACTGCTGAAGGCTGCCTGGGCTACATGGGGTCCTTACAAGTGTTCTCTTAGTCCATCAAGTTTAGTAGTGTTTTTGAAAGAGCTGTGCCATTTCCAGATTTTGCAGTGTTTGCATTAATTACTGAAAAGTTAATCTTTTTTTATTTCAAAATACAGAAATCGTGTTGTTGCCTAGCTACTATAAAAAGATGTATCTGTTTCAAAAGTTGTCTAAATAATTCTTGGAAACTCTTTGGAAAGTGGAGTTGTATCCAGCCTCTTACCAGCAGTTGTTTGCTGAGATTTTTTAACATGCTGTGAATTGCAGCTAAGTGTTAGTCATTAATTGTTCACAACATTTTGCTGGTCGTTGAGTCTGCAGTGGGGAATTAAGAGCTAAATTTGATATTATTACCAGACATGCATTATTTTGTTGTTGATTTGGGCTTTTACCCTCAAAGCATTACTCAACCACTGGAGAAGTATTTTTATATCTGAATGTCCTAATCAATAAGGTCAAAAAAGATTGATTTCAGTAGCTGTCGCTGTGTTTACGGCACAGATCAGACACGGTCATTTGTAGAAGTGGGGAGTAATTCTCTTGTTAACTTGGGAGTCCAGAAATCAGCAGACACATCTTACATGTCAGTGGGCAGTGAAAAGAGTCTTGATGGTGTCAGTCATGGGCTGAGAGGAGGAGACTGACACTGTTAATTGAATTTCCCTGGAGAGCATAAAAATATACCCTAATGTGGGGGGAGAAAGGAGGGAGTGGGAACCACACAAGCTGTCAGTGTGTGTGAGCTGATAACATTGATTTACCCTTGCTAATGGCCTGGGTTGAATAAAGAATTGCCCTGAGGGAGGCCAGGGTTCACTACAATAGATCCTTGCCACTTACTAGAAATTCTTTGGGCTCAGAAGTCGTGCAAAACTATTGCAAAATAAAATTGATCCACAAAACCCTCTTTTCATTCATGCTGTGAAACATTGGATTTTTCTTTTGTTAATAGTTTACACGGCCTGAAAAATTTATTTATACAGGCTCACCAGGGAAATAAAGATTTGTTTTACAAACCATTAAATAAATTACTGAGCTGTACTTGGTAACAGCAAATAAGAAAAATAAATGCCATTAAATTTCAGCTCACTAGAAATCCCATGACTGTGCTGAAACAGCATTAAAGGGTTGGGTGTATTCTGTATGCAAACGTGAATCACAAAAAAAGCCACACAGGAGGATTGGCAGCCCTGTCTTGCTGGGTTTTACCTTCAGGTACAGTGCAATCACTCTGACAATTTCTGGTTGGACTCAGCCTTCATCTGTTGTGTTCCACAGTGCTGAGTAAGGCTTTTTCTCACCCCTGAACTTCTGTCATAGTGTGAGAACATTCTGGGATGCCACATGCCTGCGTGATTACTGTGGTCACACTTGCTCTTGTTTTGCCTTCCTGGTCTGCTGGACACAAGCACATCCTGCACTTGGGGCCAAGTGCAAAACAGCAAAAAGAGTTTGTTTAATGCAAACTAAAAGGTTTTTATATCAGTGTGTCCTCTAGATATTAAAATATAAGGAATGTCTCTCTTGGGCAAAGATGCATCTTAACCACTGTCTATTTTGGAGTCCTGGCTGTATATTGCAGCACCTTCCCTGCTTCTCCTTAACACAGAATTATGAGGCTGCTCCCAGCTCCCCATGGAACTCGGCTTTTCTTTGGAATCCAGGGCACGATTTGAGTGCCAGCAAATGAAAGAGATGTTGCTTTGCTTTGCTTCAGGTAGTTGTCAGAACTCCAGACACTTCTTGATATGCCCATGTTGGCTTGCTTGGATGAAGCTCTACAACCACTAGAAGCTTTGCACCCTCTGCTGGAAAAGTATTTGCAGAGTATAAGGATGAGCAAGTTGAAGTGCAGGTTCTGAGGATCTAACTTGGAGCATGGCCATTAATTACATGAAACCTGTGGTTCACGTGTCCTTAAATTAAATGTACATAAGAGGTACTATAAGGTCATAAACCACCACGTGGTTCCAATTTTAAATAGACTTGCACCCCTCAGGTCACATGTCCTCACTCGTGTTGGTAGGAGGCACAAATCCTGATGGTGTTGGATACACCTGGTGTGCTGTCCCCAAGGTGTATCTGCTGCTTTGGGTGTGCCCTACACTGTTGGAAGGCAAGTCCTTGAGTTTTGTGCATCTCATCCTTACTGGCAGAAATCCTGGAAGTAAGTTGTGTTCACTTTCACCTCTGCTTTGTTTAAAAGTACAGTAAGAAAACAAACACACACAGAGCCACAACAGAGTGCAAGTGTTCCCAGAGGGCCCTGGCCTGAGGTTGGCAGATTGTCATATGGGACTCTTCAAGCTCTTAATAAGATCTGATAACGCTCAGTTTAAGATCCCCCATGAATCAACCTTTGATGCTCAAAGTAAAACTCATGTAACCTCTTACAGAAGGCAAACCTGATGTTTGAAACAGCAGAGCTAGAACTGTTTTTCTGCCACGATTCTTTTTATTTTTTTGCATGTTCATTCCTTGATGGACTAATCTTACACATCCATCACCAGGGGCAAGTGTGTTTCACTGAATTGGCTGCTCGAGTCTGACTTGAGCATTCACACAGAAATGTCCTGTAATAGGGAACTCTTGTAGCAACCAGGATGTTGAAAGCTGTATATCCTGTTAGTGGGACTACAGGTACAGTTTTAACTTGCTTATGCTTATCATTTATTTCCCTCAATGTAAAGAGGTGACATGGACTGATTAAAAACCTGCTGATTAAAAAATGTACTGATTAAAAAGTGTCTACTATATAGAGATTAAGCTGCCTGAAGTGCATACATTTCTAAGGCTGTGACCCTGACCTGGGTCAGAGGTTGCTGCCTCTCAGATGCTCATCCTTAGACTTGCTGGCAGAACATCACTTCCCTAAAGTTCTTCCTAAAATTTGTTATTAGAGCTTCGGGTTTGGCTCTGTGTTTTAAAAGTCCCACTTTTAGATGTTAGAGGTATTTCTTGTGGGTTTGGACAGTCTGTGCTGGGCAGGGTTGGCAGACACTGTTATTCTGAGGAAGGTGGTGGCAGGGTGGCAGGATGCTGCTGGCAGTGAGGGTGGGGACAGCAACTGGGGGCAGTGGCCTTTTCACCTGGCTCAGCTGCAGCTCAAACACTGCAGTTAAATCACTTCAGTTAAATTTGTACAATACTTATTTGTGACATCAGACAAGCCCATAAGGTGTCTCTCATCCATCTGACTGGGAATATGACAGAGATTCAGTGCAACTCTGAGGGAACCTCATGATTTTTGGAATCCAATTGCAACAGCTAATCTGCTTAACTGGAATTATTTGTATATGATCCTTCTTATTGATCACTAGTTTGAAAAAGATCTTCACCACAATACAAATTATAAGATTCTTTTAACTAAGTGATTTGACTGAAGATCTTGCAGCTCTGCTCCAAAGAGAGGGCTCAGGGGCAGGACAGAGGTTTGATCCATGTCCCATCCCAAACATACAGTACAGCTGAAGCTCCCATGTCCTCACAAGGCACAAAGTCCTAACAAACAAGATTTCACTGGTTCTGTTGATAAAACTTACTCTAATTTTGTATGGGTTTGAGGGATAGCTGTGTCCCTGATCTCCTTCAGGCTCTCTAGGTGCTGTAAAAATCTCAGTAAATAATAGCAAGTGCAAAACAAGTTGTTAAAGTGTGGTAGTAAAATGGAACCAGAAACAAAAAGAGGAGGATTTTAGTAGATTGGGCCACAGTGCTTATAATTACTTACCAGCTCTCTTCATGCAAATCTAAAAGTAGCTGCTTTCCAGCAGGCTAAGTTTCGATCCAGTTATTTACATTACTAATTCAGAATAGTATTCTTACTGGAAACAGATTTCAGGGGGAAAATATACTTCCTTAGAAAAGGAATAATTTTGTAACAGAAAAATGTGTGAATATGAGCCAGTAATTGACTGCTCTGGTTTAATCCTTTTTAAAAAAAAAGAATCTCAATGCTTACAACCTCTAAAACATGCTCTCTCAGTGACCATTAATGGGTTTTTTTCTGTCAGGCAATGTTTTTGGGTTTGGGATTTTTAGAGAGATTTTTCAGCCTCCTGCTTCAGCAGTGGTGATGTCAGTTATTTACATTTCAGTAAAATGTTTGTCGTAGCTTTCAAATACATGGGGACTGTAGACAGACAGTGTTTATCCCATTGTAAAGACTGTCAGGAATGGCTGGCTCTA